CCCCTCGTGTCGCCATTCCACTCGGACGACCCCCACGCACCCGCTCACCTCCCTCCTCCCCCCATCGGTGGCGCGATCGTTGGTCGGAGATTGAGGAGGGGAACGTACCGCCAACTCCTCCGCGGGACTCACTTGGTCCAATCTCTCGCCCAGATCCGTTTGCTCGCTTCATCGAAGGCACCACGACCCCGCTCACCATCATCCCCGACCGTGAATTCCTCGCGCTCTATCTCACAACGGCACCTGCAGAAGGGGAGGCAACGGCAGAATCAGAAGCAGAGGAGCCGGCCAGCGAAGCAGAACCAGGAGAAGAGGAAGAACCCCCACTCCAGATCCCGCAACTCACGGCGGAAGAGGAAGCAGAGCATCACACCCGTTACAAGCGTACCTCTGGCATCCGCGCCGAAGATGATCTCTGGCACCAGCGGATGGGCCACCCCTCGCGCCAGACACTCGCCAACTACCTCCGCGCCAAAGTTTTTCCGCCAGGAGCACTGCTGCGCCCCGACGGAACAGAATTACAGCACAACACCCCTCACCCGACCACCTGCACTGTCTGCCCCACAGCCGCTCTCTCTCACAGCGCCTACCCCTCCCTGGAACCAAGCACCAACCGCTACAAGAAGTTGGAAAAAGTATACAGCGACTTCATTGTGCTCACCTTCGACGGCATCAACGGCGAGAAATATACCCTCACCTTCATCGACGCCTACTCACGCCATGTGTGGATCGCCAACGTCGACGCTCGCTCCAAAGCTCCAGAGGTGTTCCGCATCTTCCTCGCGCACGTGCAGCGATAGTCAGGAAGGAAGCTGAAGATCTGGCAAAGTGATGGGGCCAAGGAATTTTGCAGCAATGAGCTGGAGAGTGTCCTCACCGAGAAGGGGATTAAACACGAGATTTCTCTCCCCTATGCTCACCAGCAGCAAGGCGTCTCCGAGAGGGTCAATCGCACGCTCATGACCAAAGTCCGCGCCATCATGAACCAGTCCGGCCTGCCAAAGAAGTTCTGGCCGTACGCCATGAACCATGCGGTGCGCCTGCACAACCTCCTCTCCACCACCGCCAACAGGGATAACCTGTCCCCTCACATGAAGTGGACCGGCTCAAGGGGAGACCCCTCCATGCTGAGGGTTTGGGGGTGCATGGTGCAATACCGGCCGACCTCGGCCACAATCGGCAAGTTCGTTCATCGCGCGCGCTGGGGTATTCACTTGGGCCTCAGCAATGAGCACAAGGGTTGGCTCATCCTCGACATGGACAGCAAGGAGGTTGTTCCCGCACGCGATATCCTCTTCTACGAACGACTCACCCTGAAGCAGTGGATCGAGGACGAGCGCCGAAACCAGGCACGCGGCTATGTCAACAGCGGCCGCAGCTTTGCGACTCCAGAAGATGCAGCAGCAGCGGCAGTACTGGACCGCGACGACACCGACGAACATCCCAGCATCCCACCTCGCCCGCGCGACGACGACGACGATGACAGCGATGACGACCCCGCGCCAGGACCATCACGGCGCCAAGCAAACCCAAGCACCGTAGCACCCGGCTATGAGAGCGGAGACGACGACGTGGCCCCACCAACACAGACACCACCAATGTGTCAGGCCTTCAACTTCTCGGCCTACACACATCCGTCTCTACCCTTGCACGGGCCGTGGAGCCAAAGAATCCTCGGCAGGCCCTAACCGGCCCTCACGCCAAGGAGTGGCGTGATGCGATGGATGCGGAGCTCAAGGCGCTGGAATCACGTGACACCTGGGTCCTAGTCGATCGTGCAGCAGTGAAGGGGAGGAGGGTGCTCAGCGGGAAGTGGGTCTTTCGCCTGAAAACTAACGCTGACGGCACTATCGAGCGTTTCAAGGCACGCTGGGTCGTACGCGGGTACGATCAGCGCCACGGCATCGACTTCGATCAAACCTTCGCTCCTGTCAGTCGCCACACCTCAGTCCGGATTCTACTCGCTATTGCCGCCGCGAAGCACCTGCCACTGCGACAGATCGACGTGAAGAACGCGTTTTTGTACGCGTTGGTGGATGCCACCATCTTTGTGGAGCAGCCGCACACCTACGGAGAGGGTGATCCCAGGGTCTATCAACTGAAGAAGTCTCTCTACGGGATCAAGCAGGCGCCTCGCCTCTGGCAGCAGCATCTGCACAAAATCCTCCTCGAAATCGGCTTCAAACAGCTCCCGCACGACCCGGGAATGTATCGCCTTCACTTCAGCGGCGATTACATCCTCCTGACAGTCTACGTCGACGACCTGCTGTACACGGGCACCTGCAACAAACTCCTCGATCAGTTTCAGGAGAATCTGGCACAGCGCGTGGATATTACCATCAACCTCGAAGTGAAGCAGTTTTTGGGGTTAAACATCTCTTACGCGCCAGAAGCAATTCATCTGTCAGCCTCCAAGTACGCGGAACAGCTAGGGGAACGCTTCAACATCTCCCCGGCACCGCTTTCAACTCCCTACCGCAACCCCAGCGCCAACTACAAACCGGACAACAAACCTCTGTCGCCTGCAGGACTCCAAATGTACCAGCAAAAATTGGGGTGCCTGCTATTCGCCTCTGTCACCTGCCGACCCGACCTTTCGTACATCGCCAGCCAACTGGCACAGTACTCTCGCAAGCCAGTAGCTGAGAACCAGCTGGACCTGGAGCGCGCCCTGCAGTACTTCATCTCCACTCCTGACATTGGGCTCTCCTACTCCACGCTGACGACCACCTCCTTCAACCTCAACGGCTACGTGGACGCAGATCATGCAGCTGACCCTGCAAATCGACGGTCCCGAACCGGCTTCGTTTTTCGCTTGGAACCAACTGGGCCAATCTCCTGGAACTCACAGAAGCAGGAGCTGGTTGCCCTGTCATCGGCTGAAGCAGAATACATCGCCGCGACAGCAGCAGTTCGCGAAGGCCTGTACCTACAGGAGCTGCTACAGGAGGCGAAAATCCCAACTTCGCCTACCTTTCGCCTTCACTGCGACAACCAGAGTGCCATCAGGATCGCGAACAAGCCAGGATTCGTGAATCGCACGAAGCACATCGCACTTCGGTACTTTTTCGTCAAGGACGAAATTGACCAAGGAAAAGTTGACCTCGCCTACTGCCCGACCACTGAGATGGCAGCAGACTGTCTCACCAAGCGCCTGCCACGTCAGCAGTACAAGCACTGCTCTGACCTTACCGGAGTAGTCAAGCGAGTCAGCTCCACCCGCGCCCAGGAATGAAGGGGAGTGTTACGATATGAAGTTTTATGAGAAGGCATTCCTGTATGCTGCAGGAGCCGACTCTACCGAGTACGAAGTCGAGGAGTCAGAAGAGTCGAAGCGACGCAGCAACCGTCTGACCAAGACCGATGCAGGCAGAAACATTTGAAGTGAAAAAGGCGGGAACAGGTTTGAAACGGGTTCCCGCGCCGCACAGTTTGAATTTGGTTGTAATAAGGGAATGTACCCCTTAGAGTACATGGCTAGTCTAGGTCTTTTCGTATTCCCTTGTATTCTTATATAAACTCGATGTATGCATGCTATCATCAACTCAGTCATTTACATTCACTCTGACCTGAGATTCAAACTTCCGCTGCAACACTACTCTGCGATCAACCCTGAGCGATCCTTCGCTAAGTCCCTTTTGGGATTGTAACACGTTTTATATTCCAAAACGGGCGTTTAGCGCGGTTCGCCGCTGCCCATTCCTACATTACAGACTGCTTCGCTTTCCAAGTACGAAATTTGAAAAGTGTTTCACTTTTTAAAACATTCATATTCCCAATGCTCCTGCATATCTAGGTTTGCTTGCTATATCTTATCGTGAGTCCATATTGTCACATCTTATGTTTTCTTTATGCAGTGCAACTTTCCTGAACAACGTATAACAACAGCAGAAACACGCTTGAGGTGAATGATTGAGTCATTCCAGCCTTGTCAACAATGAGCGCAACTGCGCCGTTTGTGACGTGGCGTCAAGCCTTATTGGATGGCGAGGAAGCTCACCTCGTTACTGGCTCCTTCGCTTAATTCCTTTAGAGTCTCCCGCGTCGAGTTTTACGCGCCCGCTCTCCCGCTCCACCAAGAAGCCATTTTCCCAGGGCCCTCGTTGCAATTCACCGTTTTGCACCGTAGAGAACGTACAAGAAACGTACGACGTGCGGATGTAGTTTCGCGCAAACACACACCCCAAGCACTGGCGCATAGGTTTCCCGCCCTCCACACCCCACCCTTCCTCCCTCCGTTTTGCGCAAATCTGTAGACGTGTAGGGCCAGTGAACGAATCTCGAGGTGTGGGTGACTGAAATGATTGAAACGAGGAAACCCATCAACTAGTTACTGTTACTGTACCAAACAAATATGAATCCACTTCTGCTGAATTCTCGACTGGGCTGCGAATTCGATTCCTTAGCTAATCTGAGTTGCTCCTACGTTACACCCTTGTGACGACGACTTACATCTTAGCCAATCTTCCCGCCGTTATCTCAAACGGGGGGTGTGTCTGTCGACCTACGCGGGTCTGTCGCCCGTTCCCGGTGACGCGCTGCGAGCGGCTAGCTACAGCCACGGGGAGGCAGAAAAGCACCACGCTTAGAGTAGCTTTTCAGGCTCGTTGCGTATGTTCGCTCTCGATAAACTTAGGCTATCCTGTATCATAAAGCTCCCGTAACAGTAGTCCTAAACCACTTACGTCACCCCTTGCCACATACTGATTGTTCCAACCTCCACACTACCAGCAGAAAAAATATCTCGTTTTTTTTCTCGAAAAATCAGCTCAGACTCCACAGCCCGCGCAGATGCCGCTGCTATACACGATCGTGTCGCGGGGAACTACCGTGTTGGCAGAATTCAGGTGATGCCTTGCCACTCCGTGATTGCCTCCTCACTGTCAGTTCAGTCGCGTATTGTTAGCTACCATCCTGCATGACACGTGTCGTTCTCAGAGACGCTAGCACTCTTTTGTGCCGTACTATGGAGCGCTTTTGTTCTGTCTCATCCGATTCTGATGCTCAGCCTTTCGCTTCATACCCTATCTTCTGATCCACCACATGCATACCGCCTCCTGCCCTCGTCATCTCTCCCATCATTATTCCACATCATCTCTCCCATCATCTCTCCTATCACCACTCATATCATCTCACCCATCATCTCTCCCACCTTCTCTCAAACCATCTCTCCCACCATCTTCTCCCACCATCTCTCCCACCATCTTCTCCCACCATCTCTCCCACCATCTTCTCCCACCATCTCTCCCATCATCATCTCCCATCATCTCTCCCACCATCTTTCCCATGATCCTTCCCACCTCCTCGTTCCTGTCTTTCACTCGCCGTGCCATGCAATCTCCATCTCATGTGATTCTCTTCCGTCTGTCCTTCCCGTCTATACCAACCCTCTTCCATGTCTCATCCTCCTCCGCCTCCTGCTTGCATCTGCGCCCTCATATCTGTTGAATTCCACAGTCATCTCCCCCTCTTCCTCTCACTCACTCTCCCTCCAGCCGGCCGCCACCACCACTCCTTACACACCTCCTCAAAATCTCCCCTTTGATTCCCAACCACATACCCACTGGTAACAAATCCGCCGCAACAATCAACCAGCAACCACCCTCCACCTCCCGCATTCCCTCTGACAACCCGCCTGTCACCCCTCCTCTCCTCCCACCACCTTTCTCCCCGCCTCCCATCCACTCACCCATCCCCGCTCCCCACTCAACCCCTTTCACCCCTGTGCTGCTGCTGCTGCACCCGCCACCTCCCTCCCTGCAGCGTGGCAGCGGGCAATGCGAATGCGGTGGCGAGGAGAATACTGGAGAAGCTGCCAGTGGACGGGGACGCGCGTGTGTCGTACACGCACGACCGCCATGTCTTCCACATCCTGCGCGCTGATGGACTCGTGTTCCTCTGCATGGCCGACGCTCCCTTTGGACGTACGCTCCTGTGCTCTCGTTGCGTGTCTCTTCCTCCCGAGTAGCGGTGGCAGGGTGGAGTGGTCTAGGCTGTTGTGCGGCTATGGGATACGTTGATACAGGCATGCATGCACATGCACCGTGGGAATCATGGATATGCGCATGCAGCCATGCCTCAATGCCCCCATGCCTCAATGCCTCCATGCCTCAATGCCTCCATGCCTCAATGCCTCCATGCCTCAATGCCTCCATGCCTCCATGCCCCCATGCCTCCATGCCTCCATGCCCCCATGCCTCCATGCCTCCATGCCCCCATGCCTCCATGCCACCCCCCCACTTTCTCTTCTTACTCCCGCACACACCACAGACGCCCTCCCTCTCCTTCCCCCCTTTTCCCCCGCTTCTCTGTATTGCCCCAGGGGCAAGTGCGATTCAGGGGACAATCCAGACCAGTAGGACACGCTCTGTCAGCACGAGACATTCACCACGCTCGCAGACACCCATTCCCTTCCGCCCCTCGGCCCCACCCTCTCCCGCTCATCCACCCATTCCCATCCCTCCTCCCGCATCAACAACATCCCACCCCGTCCCTTCCCCCTTTGATTCCTTCCCTTTCCACGTGAATTTCTCCATATTTGTAGGCAAGTGCCATTTGCACATCTGGGGGACCAGGACATGCTGTGCTGCCATCTGAATCGACTCAAAAGTCTTCTTCCCTATCCCCTCTGTGTCCACCTGGATCCCCCCAGGGCGAGTACCATTTGCATATCTTGGGAACGCGCACATGCGGTTCATGAAGAGGCTTTTGAGCCGCCTAACAAAATCCCCCCTTCATTCTCTCCCTCTCCACCTGGATCCCCCCAGGCCGAGTGACATTCGCATACCTGGGGGACGTGCACATGCGGTTCATGAAGAGAGTTTTGAGTCGACCCATAAATTTCTATTCAATCCCACCTGAATCCCCCCAGGGCGAGTGCCGTTTGCATACTTGGAGGACGTGCACATGCGGTTCATGAAGACGTACGGGCGAGTGGCGGCCACAGCACTCGCATACGCCATGAACGATGAGTTCTCGCGCGTGCTCGCCTCACAGATGGAGTTCTTCTCCTCCAACCCCAACTCTGATACCATCAGCCGCGTCAAGAATGAAATCAGCGAGGTTGGTACTGTGTGTGCGCCTTGATCAGGCACGGCGAAATGAGCGTTAATGCTATCTGTCCTTTGTTCTTGATTTTTCTGATCCCACCCAGCACCTTTTTCATCGCGCTCCCTCGGTTGTTGGGACCATTTGCCCTTCCCCTGCACCACTCTTTTCATCGTATCCCCTTGCCAGATTTCGGTGTTGGACCGTGGTAACCACATAGAGCCGCTTTTGAGGCTCCTTAAAATGCGTCTCTCATTCCCCAATTTCCTCCTAATTCCTCTCCCCACTGCCCATGCTGCCACGCCAGGTGAAGTCAGTGATGGTGGAGAACATAGACATGGTGCTGGACCGCGGTAACCGCATAGAGCTGCTAGTGGACAAAACTGCCACCCTGCAGGACAACACGTTCCGCTTCAAGAAGCAGGCGCGCGCACTCAAGCGGGCACTGTGGTGGAAAAACACCAAACTCATGTGCGTGTGGGTGGGTGGGAGGGAGGGACTGGCAGGAGGCGTGTGGGTGGCAGAAGATGGATGGGAGGTTGTGGCATGAGGAGGGGGTGCATGGCAATGGAGTTACCCCCACCCCAGCGCATTGCTCCTTCTTACCTTTCTTCCATGTTGCGTCCATTTACCATCCATGTCCACCTGTATCCCATTTTGTCTTTCATTGTGCTGCTCCCGCTGCTGCTTCCAGGATTGCCATGAGCGGGGTCATTCTTCTTGCGCTGTACCTTTTCGTGGCCCTGTTTTGTGGGGGTCTATTTCTTCCGTCTTGCCATTCGTAATGGGCCTCGAACTTCAATCACTAAATCTGCTATCGAAGTAGTCAATCACTATCTACATGTACGTAGACACTTCTCTAATGCATGACATACCTAACATTATGGCGTTGTAAATTTCTTGCTTTGAGTTTGTTGTGTGTAACGTGTAACTTTCAACCCTATGCTCTTGCCAAGCACATTGCTTCCTACGCACTCGCGCCTAACAACAAATAGTCGTAATCGTTCCCAACGTCCGATGCGTGACGCGTCCCAATCACGTGCTGCTATGCGCGAACCAGACAACGCCTTTTTTCCTTTTTCTAGAAGCATCCATCTCTATCCACAGGCCCATATGGCTTGAGATTTCGTGTCATTAGCGAGCACGCACACGCAATGAATATTCCACTGTCAAAGTACAATCTTACTTGTAGGCTATAGTGGGGCACTCTTTATGGGGTACAGCACTTCTAGGGTTAGTACTTGTACCCCAACTCTTGCTAATCCAATCATTCCTGCACAGTGATTCTGACATGGTATTCAGAGCAGGAAACCTGTTAGGTTTTTAGGGCCCACCGATAGTTCCGCTCTCTCCTGCCCGAAGCGCCCTTGCGCTGTCCGGCCCTGCTCGCTCAGTGTCGTGCTGCTCTGCAGCTACTCGCACTGCCTGCCCTAGCGCGCTGCCCAGCTGTCACGCGCGCCCCTCCTGCTTGCGAGCGGCTACTGCCCCGCGCGCCCCTACTGCCCGCGAGCGGCCCTTGCCTCGCGCGCCCTATTGCCCGTGAGCAGCCCCTGCCCCGCGCGCCACTGCTGCCCGCGAGCAGCCCTTGCCCCACGAGCCCCTGCTGCCCGCGAGCAGCCTCTGCCCTAGCGCGCCCCAGCAGCCCAGCGCGTCGCGCCCTGCTGCAGCCCGCGCGTCGCGCTCTGCTGCTCCGCGCGTCGCGCCCTGCTGCAGCCCGCGCGTCGCGCCCTGCTGCAGCCCGCGCGTCGCGCTCTGCTGCCCCGCGCGTCGCGCTCTGCTGCCCCGCGCGTCGCGCCCTGCTGTAGCCAGCGCGTCGCGCCCCGCTGCCCCACACGTCGCGCCCTGCTGCAGCCCGCGCGTCGCGCCCTGCTGCCCTGCACAGCGCGCGCCCTGCTGCCCGCACCGCCCAGGCCGAGCCGCGCCGCCCAATCCGAGCCGCCCTGCCCAACCCGAGCCGCCCTGCTGCTACTACTGCTGCTGCTGCTGCTCGTTCTACTGCTGCTGCTGGTGGAGGTGCTGCTGGGAGTGCTGGAGGTGCAGCCACCCAGCCCCACCGAGCCGCCCTGCTGCTAATACTGCTGCTGCTGCTGCTCGTGCTACTGATGCTGCTGGTGGAGGTGCTGCTGGGAGTGCTGGAGGTGCTGCTGGTGCTGGAGGTGCTGGAGGTGCTGGACCTACTACTGGCCGTCACTGCCTGTCATGGCCACTATCGCGGCAGTTGCAGTGGCTAGGGGTGGACAGCAGCGGTTACTGCCTCTCCCGGACGACCCCACCCCTCAGCAGCTTCGTGAGTGGGTTTTTCAACGAGGCCGTCCTGGTGGTGGAGGTTTTGGTTTTATGTGGCCTCAGCGACCTCCCGACTGTGCTTCTCAGCGATGCGTCCCTGGTTGTGTAGAGGTTGCTGCTCTCGGTTCTAGTGAGTCCGCTGCCGCTCCAGGTGCTGGTGAGTCTGCTGCAGCTCTAGGTGCCCGTGAGTCTGCCGACGCTCTAGGTGCTAGTGCGTCTACTGCCACAGGTCCTGCCTCAGCTGAGGCCTTGCACACTTTCACGCTTGACTCAGGTGCGTCACGTTGCTTCTTTCGTGATTGCACCACAGTCACACCACTCGCAGCACCTGTCCCAGTCTCACTGGCTGACCCCTCTGGGGGCCCAGTAGTTGCGCGAGCCTCCACTGTCCTCCCGTGTCCAGCAGTCCCCTCCGGTTCTCTGCCAGGTCTCCACCTCCCCACGTTCTCGACGAACTTGGTGAGCAACGCTGCCATTCAGGATGTCTGGGTTGATACCTTTATTCCTGGAGGGCAGCGTGTGGCGATCTGTACGTGCTCCCGGACTGGCCGTCTCCTAGCTACGTTCACTCGACAGCCTGGGTCTAGTCTGTACACACTGACCACTGCGTCTGCACAGGTGGCTGAGTCAGGTCAGGTGGCTGCGTCGAGTCGGGTGTCTGCGTCGGGACAGCTAGCTGCGTCTTGCTCGTTTAGAGTACTCACGCACGAGACTCAGCGCTGGCACCACCGTCTTGGTCACCCCTCCCTGCCGTGTCTGCGCAGCATGCACTCCCGTCTCTTTGTCTCTGGCCTCCCCAGGTCCCTGCCCCCCCTGCCGCGCTCGATTGCTCCACCGTGCCTTCCTTGCGTCGAGGGGCGGCAGCGCGCCGCTCCTCACTCCTCCGAGTTTCCTCCGACCACTGCTCCTCTGCAGACTCTCCACATGGATGTGTGGGGCCCGGCCCCCATCGGTGGAACGGACCGGGAGCGCTACTTCCTGCTGGTTGTTGACGACAACACACGCTACACCACTGTCTTCCCCTTGCGGCGCAAGGCGGACGTCAGCGGTGTCCAGATCCTCTGGATCTGTGCTACTCGTCTCCAGCTGCACGAGCGGTTTCAGCAGGACTTCCCAGTCCTGCGTCTGCACTCTGACAGGGGCGGTGAGTTCTCTTCTGACCTCCTTGCGGGGTTCTGTCGAGACGAAGGCATCCGCCCGTCGTTCACGCTTCCGGCCTCTCCTCAGCAGAATGGGATTACTGAGCATCGCATTGGCTTGATCATGGAGGTTGCTCGCACCTCCATGATCCATGCGGCTGCTCCCCATTTTCTGTGGCCGTTTGCGGTCCGATACGCTGCGCATCAGCTCAACCTCTGGCCCCGTGTCTCTGAGCCAGAGACCTCGCCCACACTCCGGTGGACGGGGAAGGCTGGCGATGCGTCAGTGTTTCGGGTCTGGGGCACGCTCTCCCTTGTTCGCGATGCCAAAGCGAGCAAGCTCTCCTCTCGCACTCTCCGCTGCGTCTTCCTTGGCTTCCCCACTGACGCCCCGCCGTGGCAGTTCTACCACCCGCCCTCGCGTCGAGTCTTCTCCTCCCAGGACGTCACCTTTGACGAGTCTGTCTGTTTCTACCAGTTACACCCGCACGCATCCCACCCGGTTCCCCTAGCACCCCTCTTCCTGGTACCAGTCCCCCCCCCCGGTAGACCCCCTCCTCCCACAGGGTCCTGCTCCCTCAGGTGTGTCTCAGGTCGACCCACCCCCCTTGGATGAGCCAGTGGAGATCTCTTCTGACTCCTCTGGCCCAGCTGAGGGGGGTGACCCAGTTGCGGACGACACGGTGGCCACTCGCCGCTCTCCACGCTTGGACTCCCCCCCGGGTTTTCCGCCTCGACCGTCTTCACCGCCTCCGCAGCCTGCTGCTGTGGACTCTGGAGCTGAGACTACTGGTGCTGAGACTGGGGGTACTGTGCCTGAGGTTGCTCGCTCTCCTCGCTTGGAGACCCCCCCTGGTTTTCCGCCGCGGCCGTCTTCTCCACCTCAGAAGCCTGCTGCTGTGGACTCTGGAGCTACTGTTGGTGGTGACACTGGGGGTGCGGGTTCTGGTCGTGCTGCGACCGAGGGTATGGGTTCTGGGGGTGCTGCGACTGGAGGTGCTGACTCTGGGGGCCCTGCGAGTTCTAGTGATGGTGGAGCTGTGGGTGTCCCTGCTGGAGGTCCAGGCGCTGGTCAGCCTAGTCCACCTGAGGCGCCCTCGCCGGAGTGGATCCGTGCGTGGATCGTTCGGCGTAGCAGTCCTGGTGGTGGCGGTTACGGTCCTGTTGCTACTGGAGGTCCGGCTGGTGCTGGAGGTGCTGGAGCTGCTGGTGCTGGAGGTGCTGGTCCTGCTGCTGGTGCTGGAGGTGCTAGAGGTGCTGCTGGTGCTGGAGGACCTGGAGCTGATGGAGCTGCTGGTGCTGGAGGTGCTGGTCCTGCTGCTGGAGCTGGAGGTGCTGGAGGTCCTGCTGGTGCTGGAGCTGCTAGTCCTGCTGCTGGTCCTGGAGCTGGACAGCCTAGTCCACCTGAGGCGCCCTCGCCGGAGTGGATCCGTGTGTGGATCGTTCGGCGTAGCAGTCCCGGTGGTGGAGGTTACGGTCCTGCTGCTACTGGAGGTCCTGCTGGTGCTGGAGGTGCTGGAGCTGCTGGTGCTGGAGGTGCTGGTCCTGCTGCTGGTGCTGGAGGTGCTGGAGGTGCTACTGGTGCTGGAGGACCTGGAGCTGCTGGTGCTGCTGGTGCTGCTGGAGGTGCTGGAGCTGCTAGTGCTGGAGGTGCTGGTCCTGCTCCTAGTGCTGGAGGTGCTCGAGGTCCTGCTGGTGCTGGAGCTGCTGGTCCTGCTGCTGGTGCTGGTGGTGCTGGAGGTGCTACTGGTGCTGGAGGACCTGGAGCTGCTGGTGCTGGAGCTGCTGGTCCTGCTGTTGGTGCTGGAGGTACTGGAGATGCTCGTGCTGGAGGTGCTGGAGGTGCTGGAGCTGCTGGTACTGGAGGTGCTGGTCCTGCTGCTGGTGCTGAGGTCCTGCTGGTGCTGGAGCTGCTGGTCCTGCTGTTGGTGCTGGAGGTGCTGGAGGTGCTACTGGTGCTGGAGGACCTGGAGCTGCTGGTGCTGGAGCTGCTGGTCCTGCTGTTGGTGCTGGAGGTGCTGGAGGTCCTGCTGGTGCTGGAGCTGCTGGTCCTGCTGCTGGTGCTGGAGGTGCTGGAGGTGCTACTGGTGCTGGAGGACCTGGAGCTGCTGGTGCTGGAGCTGCT